CCTTGCTCCTGACCCCCAAGGCATCCACAGGTCCAGTCTCCTTTCAATGGGCCCACTTCCCAGGGCTCATTGATATTGAATCTGGCTTCCATCCCTTCTCCAACTTCCATCAGAACTACTATGTCCTTCTGGCTTAGGAAAAGAATAAACAGGAGGATTTGAAATTAACCCGCCCAGTCTCGCCCCCTAGGCAGGGAATGAGCCATCTACATTAGGCCCCAGCTGGAGTATCATGTCCCGTTCTGGGCGCCACATTTCAGGAAACGTGGTGTGACGTAGTGGGGGTACTTGCTGGGCTGTGGTGACCCCTGCTGTCTGGAGCAAGACCCAGCAGGGAAAACCTCACTATGCAAAGGTAATGCCAAACTTGTTGAACCAGTGGCCAGACAACCCCCCATGGAGAGGAACAAAGGAAGGTGGAATGCTGCCCTTGCTGGGGGGCAGGGCTGGAAGAGAGGGAGTTAGTTGCTGTCTGTGAGCATGGAGGAGTCAGCCTAGGGAGAGGGGCTGGAGTTTAGGGGCCCAGTCTCTCCCCAACTCAAGGGGGCCTGAGGCATCCTAGCCCAGCTCTGTGACCAGACTACATCTGTGCTGTGCTGTATCCTGGAGAGGCAATAAACTTCCTCTGTTCCACCGGCTGGTGCGGTCTGTTTGTGCCATTTTGTGCAGGAGACGGGGGACCCCCAACGCGCCGTCACACGTGGAGAAACTGAAGAAAGTCCAGAGAAGATCAACACAAATGATGAAAGGTCTAGAGAACATGAGATATGAGGCAAGGCTGAAGAAATTGGCCTTATTTACCTTGGAAAAGAGAAGACTAAAAAGGGACATGAGAGCAGCTTTCAAGTATCTAAAAGAGTATCATGAGGAGGAGGAAGAAAAATTGTTCTGCTTGGCTTCGGAGGTTAGGATGAGAAGCAATGGTCTTAAATTGAAGATATTTAAGACCAGGTTAGACAGACACCTGTCAGAGATGAGCTAGGACAACTCAATTTGTGACAGCACTTTTCATGAGCAATGACAGTCCAAGAATTTAACTACTGAAACACATATCAACAGAAGATCATTACACTGACTACTTTTTTGTTTCGGCTCCCACTCGCCGGCCACGTGTTGATCTCCACATAAACCCAAACTGCACCACGGGACACACACAAACTGACCATAGGCCGCATGCAGCCTGTGTGTTCAGTAGCCCTGATGTAGGCAGTCTAGTATAAGTGGAATTGATGTTAATGTGGAGGATGAACTGAGCTGTGAAGTCCAAATGGAGACTCTCTTCCACTTGGCCAGGTAAGTGGCCCTTGCGGAGTGTTTTCTACTACCCACAAGGACTTGACAAACAAGCTCTGAGCAGGGAAGCTCTCTGGCATTCAGCCACAGAGCTGCCATGTCTCCTCCCCTTGCTCCATCAGCTCCCCTGGTGCCTGCTGCCCCCCAACCCCTCACCCGCCTCTGCTGTCCTGACTCAGACTCCTGCCCTTCTCATTGCCCTCAGCCTTCCTGAGACCTGCCCCCCTCCACAAGCCCTTCTCTCCCCCCTGTGCCCACTCCTCCAGTAGCCTCAATCTGATCACGTGAGTCACTCCTCCTCATCCCCTCTTCCAACATCTCCATCTACACACCTGCCCTACCTCTCTCCTCTGGTGCTGGTCCCTCCCCTGCAGGTGTCTGCCCTTCTGCTTCACTCCAGAATCCCCTGACACCTGCACCTTCCCTTAGCCCTGCACCCTCCTGGTGCCTCCCCTTTCCGTTACTGCTCCTGCCCCCTTTTTCCCTGATACTCACCCCCTCATACTCACTGCCCCATTCCCCTCCTGCCCCTCTGTGCCCTCACACATGCTTTGCTCCATCCCCACCTTTCTCATGCCCACCCCTTCTTTCAAGCCTTCTCCCAGAACCTCCCCCTCCAGCCCCCAATGTCCTTCCCCTCTCCCAGCATCACCCTATTTCCCCTCCCACTGACACCTCCCCTCCTGCCCTTTCCCTCATTTTCTGCACTTGGCCCCCTGGCATTTGTCTCTCCTGCATCCCTCTCTTGGTGCCTTCCCTTCCCCCCACCCAAGCTCCTTCTCCTTCCACCCCCTCCCCCTCCGCCCCTTTGCCTCCACCCAAGCCCCTTCTCCCCTCCTCTCCTTCCCCCCAAGCCCAAGCTGCCACCACACAACCCTGTTCCCTACCTTCTGTCTTCCCTGTTGTGGGGCCGGAGGCCGCGCTCAGGCCCGGAGGCCAAACCTGGAGCCAGCGAGGTTCTGCAACGTGCTTCCCAGGCATTTTAAAATCCCGGGCCGTGATGTCACATCATGCCCGGGTGTCCTCTCCACCCATGTGCAACGCCGCACATGGGCAGCAGCAGGCGGTGAGGAGGAGCCAAACACGGCAGGGACGGTCCGAGGCCGAGGGAGGCGGGGTGGGAGGACGTGCGGGGGGGCCGGTAGGGGAGGTCCGGGGCCCGCTTCAAGCAGAGCTGGGGGAGAGACCCAGCTCCACATAGTGGTGTAGTAGGGCCCCCCGGCTCTGTAACTCGCCGGCACTTCTGGGTTCAGGAGCGCGGGGCCCCCTTAGGTGGTGGGCCCAATTCGACCGAATCGGCCTAAGGCCAGTCCTGTTAGCATATCTGGTATGTAAATGCTTTGCCACACCAGCTACAAGAGTGCCTTGCAAAATGCCTGTTCACAGTTTCAGGTGACATAAATAAGAAGTGGGTATTATCGTCATCCATAAATGTAAACAAACTTGTTTCTGTCATAGTAATAGAGATGTAGCCGTGTTAGTCTGGTCTTGCTGAAACAAAAGACAGGACTGTGCAGCACTTTAAAGACTAACAAGATGATTTATTAAAGTTCATCACCTAATAAACTACCTTGTTAGTCTTTAAAGTGCTGCATAGTCCTGTCTTTTGTTTTTGTCAGCGATTAATTGAACAAACAGCAGGACTGAGAAGACTTGTATGATCCAAAGTTTTGATTTACACTAAAGCCATGACCTAACGATAGTACAACAAGCTGCCATGGTTTTGGGTTACCAGAAGGGGGTGTTTGAGGTGAGTCACTTTTGGAGTGCTGTTTTGTAACAAAAAATATACATTTGTAAGTTATGCTTTCACAATAACAGATTGTTCTGCAGTATTTGTATGAGGTGAATTGAAAAATACTATTTCTTTATCATTTTTACAAATCAGATACTTCTAATAAAAATAATATAACGTGAGAACTGTACACTTTGTAAACTATGTTGTAACAGAAATCAATATATTTGAAAACGTAGAAAAATATCCAAAATACTTAATACATTTCATTTGGTATTCTGTTTAACAGTGTGATTGGCCACAATTATTTATTAATTATTTTTTCGTTAATCATGTGAGTTAACTGTGATCAATTGACAGCCCCAGGTATTACTGTGATTTTACCTGTAAAATAATGCACACTTTTTTGTTTTTACTTGGAATTATTACGAACATCAGTAGTATGCTCTTTTGAGATTTGACAGTAAAAGCTGGTAGAATTGTTAATACATCAGCATTGGCAGTTTTGTTCAGTACAGGAAATGAATTGGGATTTAATTGTAATCATTGTTATTTTACACTGCTGTAATTTAATACTTTATCTTGACATTCTTCATTATAACAAGGGCTTCTATTCAATTACATTTTAGAGTTAACCCATAAGGAGCCATTACCCTTTTTGAAACAAAAGCACATTTTAAATACAGATCTTTGTTTTGTTTTTAAAGACCTTCTGGATTCCTGGATGTCCTAAGATCTTAGGGGTCACTTTTTAATGCTTATTCAGTCTGTCACTCCTGACATGACTGAAGATGACTCCAGAAAGCTACACAAAGCATGTCTCTGTCCTATTTCAGCTCCATAGCCGAGCACTTTGCCTTCACAGTATTAACAGGCTCTGACAACCCAGAACCATTACAGCTTGTTGTGCTATCTCTAGGCCATGGCTTCAGCTTAAATCAATATTATTGCCATCTCATTATCTGTGTTCACAGCTTTTGTTATTACTGCACCCATCAGACAGTAATGGAAATTCCATTCAAACTGATTTGTAATACAGGCAGTCCCCGGGTTACATGGATCTGACTTACATCGGATCCCTACTTACAAACGGGGTGAGGCAACCCCGCACTAGCTGCTTCCCCCCAGCAGACCAGGGAGACGCGGAGTGGCTTTTCTCAGCAGACACCTCAGCTTGAGAATAAAGGACTGAGGGAAGTGAAGTGTGGGAGAATAAAACTGAGCTCTGGAGAAATGTTTGGCTAGAGTTTCCCCTACAATATGTACCAGTTCCGACTTACATACAAATTCAACTTAAGAACAAACCTACAGTCCCTATCTTGTACGTAACCCGGGGACTGCCTGTAGTCCTTAAAATATTTATTGCAAATAATACTTAATCTGAGGTGTTTGAAGGGTGGAGTGTGAGAAACTGCTTGAGAAGAAATGTTACATCAAGGCATCTATTTTCATTATAGTTGCAGCTGAAGCACATATGGAGAGAAAATCTTAATTCATTGGCTGTAAGGGAAAGTAGTAATTAGTGTATGAAATTTGGCAAAACTTTAACAAATGATCTGGAATACAAAAGTGGCTCTGTTCAGTAAACAGGAGCAGCATTTTTTGAGTTAAACACGGTTTCTACTTTGATTTCACATCCTAATAAACAGTCTTGAGAAGTACTTTCCAAGAGTGCTTTAGTGGTTCTTCGCAATTACTGCATATTTTTAACATAGCTGGGCTCCTAACTAAAGAGACAGTAATTTTTTCAAAAATGAAGAGCCAACTGATTACATCAGTCATTCTAACAATAATTCAAAGTCTGTGCCACATTTATTGATAAAACTTGACACACGCAGCTTTGAAAAATCATTAAATTTTTATGCAGCAAAACTGAAATTGCAATTTAACCAGATTTAAAAAAATTAAATGTACCATCCTTGCCTTTAAGTCATGTGGAGAGGGTATTTGTAAAGCAGCAGCAAAGCTAAAATGTTTGTTTTTCCTCCTCTCTAGATCAATGAACTGAGCCATGTTCAAATCCCTGTTATGTTGATGCCAGATGATTTCAAAGCGTATTCAAAGATAAAGGTGGACAATCACCTTTTCAACAAGTAAGTGCAAGTAACAAACCTTTACATAGGGGAATAAAGCTCCTGACAGCAATATTTTACCAAACTCTGTAAACTCTATGATTTTTCAATGAATAGAAGTAAAGTTTTGCTGATTAAGGTAATCCTGTGATAAACATAACCATCTGCTATATTCTAAAAAGCAACAGCCTGGCATATTGAGTAGAACTCTTTGGCCATATGGCATGTTATTATCTGTGGATGTCTTATACATAGAAAATGATTGTTCTCTTTATTATGGAAATATTTGTTTAGATTTATATATACATTTATTAGTTATTTTTGCTATCTTAAACCAAAAAAAGTTATGAATAAGTATAAATAGGGGTATAAGGAGTATTTCAAAGCCAAATAAAGAATGTGCACCTTTTTATAATCCTTGGTATGAAATCATAAAAAATGTTGACAGTATTATCTCATTCTGTTGAATTTCCAACTAATTCCACAGTTTATCATTTATTAGCATGATTTAGCAAGATAATGACTACAAGCATTTATCTTCCAACTATATATTACTCATTGTGTGTTTCAGATATAAAACCTATCATATGAACTTTTATAAAGATGAAATGAAGGCTAAAAATAGTCTAGAAAGTGGAATGATTTCATTATTTTGTACCGTCTAATCCGTGGCAAAGTTCAAACAAAAATACCAGCAATTACTCTTTCTGAGTATAAAAGGAAGGTTAATTGTAGGATTTTAAAACTAATCCATCATTAAGAGTCCATGTTTTGTAGATGCTTTGATGTTTCTTGGGGTTTTTGGTGTCATAGCTGAATACTTGTTTAATCCAATTTAAGGTTTCTCCTTCAGAGCAGTAGGGCAAAAGGGAAACAGTTTCACTTTTTTGAGTACAGATGTGAAGACTTGTCAAAATTTGGTGTTTATGGACTTCATCCAGTCCTCATACAACTGATTACTATGCCTTTGTGTATGTTTATAAAAGAGGAAAAAAATCGTTTGGGAACAATCCTAAACTGATAGAGGTTGGAGTAGATGGACTCTAGGTCTGTTTTGTCTTTATTTTGTACAAAAATGTTATTGGCTTGCTTATTTAATTGAAAATGTACTGTTTTTTTCATTCTATTTCAGAGAAAACATGCCAAGTCATTTCAAATTTAAGGAGTATTGTCCAATGGTTTTCCGCAATCTGAGGGAGAGATTTGGAATAGATGATCAAGACTTTCAGGTAGGTTCACTATCAAAATACCTGTGAAGTCCTATTCATAGCTCCTCAAGCTATGAGCAGGAAAAACTGCATTTGGGCAGAAGTCTGCCCACAGATGATCATTGGCTTGTTCTTTGAGGGACTATGCCTGTTCATTCAGGTAGGAAATAGACTTCTCTCGTCCTTGTTAGTTAGGATTAAGAAGGAGCAGGACAGGCATTTACTGATTCTAAGATTGTCAGTGGTGTAACTGAGCAAGTGCAAGAGCTATAGACCTTTGTGTTGACATGGTGAGTTATTTGTTTAGTTTTTGGAGGAGATTGTTTTCTGACAATAAAATTGGGGTTTAAAGTCTGCTTAGGCATTTAATAAGGGAACCAGGAGCAAAGTGCTAGTAAAGAGATGCCTGCTAGTTCCTCATCTGATGTGGAGTATATTGAGACAGCAAGAGAGTTTTCTTCCTCTTTTCTATTTTTTTCTTATTTATTGTAATTTGCAGTACCTCTCTCCTTACCTTTTTTGTGTCTCTGTTCTCAGTACTTGTCTATCTGTTCTCATCCTTTTGCTTTGCTCTGCCCCGGGCTTCCTGGAATCAGCCTGTGGTCAGTTTCAGCAGCGGCTGAATCGGGGACACCTGGGGCAGAACAGCTGGGGGTGCTGCTGGGTTGGTCCAGTAGCGCTGCTCCTCTGCCTTACTGGACCCACCCAGCAGCACCCCAGCTATTCTGCCCCAGGGGTTCTGGTTCAGCCGCTG